AGAGGGGGGTAGAGAGGTCAGACAAGATTTTTGGAAAATATCGTATTTTAAAGAAAAATTCGACTGCAATTTTTTGGGGGTGGGGGGGGGGGGGTGTAGGCTGAGGTGTGACGTCATTTTAGAGGGCGGGGTCTGGCTTTTTGTGACAGATATGTGACCGAGGGGAGGTGGGAAGTAAAAATCGTCAAAAAAGCGTGACATCATTTATGGATGACCCCATTGGTGGTTGATTGGGGAAAACAGTTTTAAGTTTTTGTTGTGGCTGTTAATAATTAAAGCCTTAAATAGCTACAATAAGTCAACCCTGTATTTTAATACAGTGACAATCTTATTAGGGGGTCTGCATATAGTGTGCTTATTATTCAATAACAAGACATAGAGGTTAGCAATTGGCTGACTACACACTTTAAATCAAGCTAGGAAGTTCTCAAAAATTAAATACAGTAATGTTATAAAAGCTGGCTGGGGGGGGGGGGGGGGGAGTTCTACAATAGCACATTATGGGGTAGGCCTAGAGATGGGGTGGGGACTAACATTGTAAACTAATTTTGTTTGTAAGCACAATCCTTTAAAGATTAATTTTTTATTTCAAGCTTGTTACAAAGAAAATAAATCCATTTTAAAGGAATGTAAATTGAACATAATATGAATCAAATGTCTCAAAAAATAATGAAATAATAGTCCATTTTATTTTGAAATTCCGCGCGAAAATTAAGTTTTCAGGGTTTCAAAAATTTCAAATTTTAGTTTCAGGATTGGGTAAAAATTTTGGGATTCATTTTCAGGATTCACTTAGAAAATGAGTGGCACCCCTGTATTTATATCTGGAAAATGCCTGCTATTTCACTTACAAAAAGCAGTACAAATCTGAAAGTTAGCAGTATAAAATGGATGATTTTACTTGTAGCACATAAAAGTTCCATGTTAAAGTGATATCATGATCTTAACGCATCCCAACAAGGAAATATTACCACTCTTACTTGACTTACCTTGACTCAAAAGTCATCTCTCACATCTGCAATTTTTATTAGATTGACTTCTCTCACAGGACTCCAGCATAATTACACCTTTACTCAAATTACCTTTTACACCAGCTTTTTTTTGTATAAATGTATAAAGATATTTACATACATCATAATTTTTAAAAGAATGGCAATAGAGAGATATAATTACTTATTTGCAATGTAAATTGGACGCCATAAAGCACTTTGAATATGTATTAACCACAGATGGTCCAAAACTTATTATTTTTTTGTTTTATCTCTTGGAGATGCATGACTTTTATTATAACTTTTTAAATGTAAAAAATAATTAAGGTTTGTGATCAGACACATTTAAATACATTAGACGGGGGACCCTCCTCACAATGGTGCACTTCTGCTGTTGTGGGTAGCCATAGATAAATTTATTACCTGCATCCTTAGTTTCAATTTTAGTTTACATAATAAGGAAAGGACAGATTTTTTTCTGTAGGATAATTTTATGTAACTCTCTTCCAGGCAATGATAATCTGCACAGTGCTACTGGCATTTACCTACTACATGAAACGTCACAAATGGACTGTGCTGAAGTCTAAAAAAATTGGCTTTTTAAACCACCAACCTACAAGTGATGAAAGCGATTATTAGCAAGGGCAAATAATATAGGGTGGGGGGGTTCACTGATGGGAAGTCATTTTTGTTGCAAGACCTGACTGAATAGACAACTTATATAAATTTAGAATGCTTTTTAATTTAGAATGCTTTTTACAGGGACATTTTAACTAATCTGATAGCATTGGATACATGTGATTGGACCATATGTTTAGTTTGTTACACAACTGTAATTATTGTACATGTTTGTGTTTAAGGAAATGATTGAATTTGTATTTAAGGTGCTCAAATGAAATCAATAAATGAGTGACCTTAAAAACAATTTTATTATTTTTTCTTTTACGAAATGAAAAAAGGGTGTGATATAATTTGTGTTAAACGTTCTTTCCTGGCACATGACCTTCACTGTATTTCAAGCATTCAATAAAAAGTATTGTTCAAATATTTAGGTCCAATCTATATTTTGTGGTTAATAATTGCTATTTTTATGATTGTAACTAAGTAGCTGTTGGGGCATAGCTATGTTGCCACCTTTAAATTATTATCATGATTGTCATATTGGGCATGAATGAGGCTTAAGATCCTATATTGTAATGTTGTCTTTCAGCTGTACTAAGCCAATAGTTGGCTTCAAATCATACATGTGGATTGACTCTTGTATATGTCTCCAGACACAAGTCTAACTGCTGTGTCTTCAAGAAAGTAGTAAATATTTTGTATTAAATTGTATGAGGTTTGATTTGATCATTAACGCTTGTTTCTTTCTTTTTGTTTTAACTCCAGAGTTTCTACTATTTCTACTAAGCACATGGGTTGAAAATGTCTAAGTCAACCAAAATCAGTTTGCTATGAAAGCAAACTTGTACAAAAGTATTCCTGGGCAATGTGATGGTAGATTGTAACTAAGGGTAAAATAGCGAAAGGCTCTAGTTTTTAGCCTTAACTCAATGACCAGTTTTACACTTTGAAAAAAAAAAAGAGCTCATTTAGCAAAAGATTTTTTTAATGTAGTCTTAAAACAAATGACAACTTAATGTAAATTTTTGTAGCTTTAAATAAACCACCAGTGCAGACTAAACACTAAATAGTGCTGATAAAAAGTAAATATATATGCTGTAAACCCTCAATATTTATAAACCTTGATCTAAGTAAATAATACTCTGTAGTCACAATAAGTTCATGCATAGAAATAGAATGTGGTTACAAAGGAAATACTGAGCACCAATGTATTTTGAAAAGATATTCACAAATGTAAGAAATATAGGTTTAATACAGATATGACTAGTTCATTAAAAATGTGGTCCTTGTTTGACGATGCCTTGAAATCAATAGAAATCTATCAGGTTTAAAAGATAGTTCTATTCAACAGTTAAGTAGTAATGGTCATGATATTACTACAAAAAATAGTCTGATATTTTCAGAACTAACAATTCATACTGAATTGTTAATGTTAGCAGTAAAAATACTGTACATTAAAATCTGTATTCTGTTCTATTAAGTTAAATAAATCTTAAGAAACTAAGTTCAATAGTTTGAATCGATCAGCTATATAACAGCTGATATGTGGAATCAATACTTGCAGGAATGTGAACCGTTTGACATACCCTAAGAAAGTGATAAAAACATTAAACTATACAGTAGGAGTCCTACTAGGAAAGGTATTTAGGAAATATATTTAGTAACTTAAATATCAAGGGGAAAATTATGAAAGGCAAAATTATTAACTTGCTATTATGCTAATTTTAAGAGGCCTTTCTTTTTTTATTGGTGGGGGGGGGGGGGGGATGATGATGGTGTGCATTCTATAAATAATGCCTGAACTCTGCATAAATAATGCATGGTTGAATGAGAAAAAATATTTAAAAAGTTGGAATCTAGAGACTTTTTATCATTTAAGATAAAATCGTGATAAAACAATGCTATAGTATGTGGTAGTTCATTGTATCACAAATGTAATATTTGGCAGGTATATCACAAAGATTTCAAGGTTATCATACATAAGACAGTCGCAGCAAGCACAAAAATGGCAGCTTTTTTATAAAGTTAATATAAGTGTACATCCCAATTTTTGAAAAAGTAATCTATTACAAAAAAAAAATAATTAAAAAGTATTTAAGCAGTCTATGATAATAAAATAACAAGAAACCACAAAGGCACAAAAAAAATTCAATAATAATATAACTAATTCTAATGCATCTTCATAAATTATTAAAATTAGAGAATATTAAAATTTGATAATTTTAATCAGCAGTTGAATATCAGCTATTGTCATATTAGCTAATAATAAACATTCCAGCAGCAACTTATAAGGTCGTTAAATATAACATTAAAAAAACAGTTTTATGACAACATTTTGGCAGAAAGGTTTTTAAACTGTTCCATTGCACATATGAATGTTAAAACTTGCTTTCTCATCACAACTCTTTTTCTGGTATTTTCTGAGGAGAAAATAAAAAGACTTCCAGTTCAGACACATAATATATTCTTTCAGTTGTAAAGGTAAGTTTGTTACGACATCAGCACATTGTTGTATTTTTTATGATGAAAAAACTATCCAATATGACAGAAGAGTTATCTCTGCTACATGACCTGACTCCTGGAACAGGTTAAGCATGAGCTACCTGGTCAACCTCTCCCGAAATCCAACACTTCTTCATTAAGTGGCAATGGGAGTCATTTAGATGGACAAAGTCGAGCTCACTGGTTTTTTTTTTACCTCTATATGTGAAGGGATATTGAGCAAGCTGAAACGGTTTTTTCTGCCCAGCCAACTTAACTGTAGTCAGTTACCCATCAGAGCCTGGTGATTTCGTGCTTCCCAGCAGACTCATGACTGGGAGCCAAACTTGAGGCCTTTGTGTTAGAAATCATGTGTTCTTCTGATAGACCACACTATCCCATAAAGTTATGTTTACATATTTAACTACCTTGATTGGTCTGTTTGTTCAATAGACCATTTTTTTCATCAATAAACTGACTTATCCACCAGAACATTTGGTCAATGACTGACACTACCAGTGTAAAAACTAACAATTTTTACTCACCACGCTTTTGTGTTAGAAATCATGTGTTCTTCTGATAGACCACACTGCCCCATAAAGTTATGTTTAGATATTTAACCAACTACCTTGATTGGTCTGTTTGTTCAATAGACCATTTTTTTCATCAATAAATTGACTTATCCACCAAAACTTTTGGTCAAAGATTGACACTATCAGTACAAAAACTAACAATTTGTACTCACCACGCTGTCTTTGGACTTTGAACAAGAGCATGCCGCCCCTTCAGTTGGTTGTTCTACAAGCTCAAAGCCCTTAACAATCTGAGGTTTTCTCTTCAGCAGTGTTGCATATTTCTATAAAACAGAATTTATTTTACCAGTTTATTCCTAAGTTACAATGTCTGGGAATGGGTTTGTGGTCAAATCATTACTCAATTTTGACCCATTTCTAATGTAAACATTTTTTTACAGATTAGTTTTTTTTCCGAAAACAATGCAATAATAAGTAAGCAATTTTCACTCTAATTAGAAAGTAAATTAGTCATTAAAATATAATTTTAAGATTACTATATACACCAACAAAAGAGAAAAGACAAGTCAGGTGATATAATGTTTGTTGATGTTTTCAATTTGAAAGCTTATCACAGATGCTAACAAGGGGCGAATTATTGCCATTTAGCTACTGATTGGATTTAAAAGCAATTATTTGAAGGAACGTAAAGAATATATGTGGTACTTATTGTTTTAAATACTTATAAACAAATAAATATATATATATATATATATATATGGTATGCATGATGTCTAACTGTAGTTACATATTCACAATAGTGAGAAAGGCTGTTAATTTTAAATGAAATACTTGAACATATTTATATCTATAATATATATAAGTATTAATTCTTATTAATAAGCATCAAAATTATTTCACCATTGGTTAAAATTACATAATATATATTACATTACATAATACATTATATAAACTAAAGGGAAATAACGTCACGTAAAGTTAAAACTGTAACAAAAAAATCGAGTAATGTCCCTTTACCTGAAACAACCTAACGTGATAACACAAGACATCAGCCGGGTTTAAATGCTCGCGTGCGTACTGTTGACCATTTTGGGCGATCTTTTGGACCTGTTGGACGATATTTTAAAATCATCATTTTTGTCACGTGAATAAAATACAACAAAATTTTTTTAAAAATAAAAACCCTACAGCCAGGCTATTTACCAGGTCATCGTGTTCTCTGGCCCATTTGACCTTCTCCAGAACGTCGCTGAGGTCATGCTTCAGGGGAATGTAGTGGACGTTGGGGATGAGGTCGTTGTAAAAATGTTCGTAGTACTCGGAGTCCTGCTTGAAAATGGCAGCATCGCCAGCCAGAAGGTAGGGGAATCTGTAGGCGGCCACAGTCCCGTCTATGTTGAGCTGGTATTTGTACTGGGGGTCAAACAGATTGTTTGTTATTTATTGGCGTCACTGGACGGGGGGACACTGGTAAAAGAGTATATGTTTTATATATAAATTCCATTTCGTTGGGGAGGGGGGGGGGGCGTTAGACTTTTTCGGGGGGGGGGGGGGGTGTCGGCCTAGACAACGATCTATATGTGCCAGACACATTTATATGAGATACTTCACAAACAGGAATTGGTTATTAGTAATTATATTATCCAACTTTAAAATGTAAAAGCTCCTACTTTAATCAACATACAAATATTCTTTAAAAAGAAAAACTACTTATATTTTATTATTGCTTTACAGTAAGTAAGTCCTATTCAACTCGTCAAGTACCTTAAAAAAGTCGAAAAATGAAATATGCGGGACCAGCTCTCCATACTTTGCTGGGTCCTTAGGGAAGAAGAACATGTGGGTGAGTCTGGCGTCTACAAGGTCGGGATGCTTCAGGGCGGTCTCTACCAGGTCAAGTCGCTCTCGTCTGCTGTCCCGCCCGCGCCAAAAGGCTACAGCTGTTTTGTTGGCCCACTTTGGCCCAGTGTTGGCTTGCGTTGAGAACATGTCCAAGCTTACCCTGAAATGATGTCAAATTTAATGTAAGATTATCCTGAAAGGATGAGAGTGATAACGAGTAATCCAAGGGTTAGGGGTCGTCCATAAATGACGTCACACTCGTAGGGGGGAGGGGGGGGGGTCCGTAATTTTGTGACGATGTGTGATGAGGGGGGGGGGGGGGTTTCAGATGGTCCGACGTCACACTTTTGCATTATAAAAAAGCAATGTTAGAAAACGAATTTTAGACGTTATTTCGCATTTTAGAAAACTGTTTTAATAAATTGTAATAACAATTAATTAAAATACTCTATTTTGACAGAGTTCAGACAAGATTTTGAAAAAAATATAGCTGTTTAAAAAAAAATTCAACTGCAATATTGAGGGGGGGGGGGTGTTGTAGGCTGAGGTGTGACGTGATTTTAGGGGGGGGGTGGGTCTGGCTTTTTGTGAAAACGTGTGACGGAGAGGAGGGGGGGAGGTTAAAATCACCAAAAAGCGTGACGTCATTTATGGATGACCCCTTAGAGTAGTCAAGCTCAATTTTAAGCCTATCCTAATGGGATAAGCTTACGGTCGTTTAATCGAAGCTTATCCTGGAATGAATTAGAAAGTTGAATTTTGATAGAATCTTATCCTAAAAGTAACAGGGATTATGGTGGTCAAGCTTATCCTAATGGTCAAACTTAATATAAGCTTAATTTAAAGCAATTAGATTAGTCACTTCTTATTTTATCCTACAGGGATTAGACACTTCAAGCTTATCTTCAATGGATTACACTGGACATTTGAGCGTATCCTAAAAAGTGATTAGATTGGACCCTTCAAGCGTATCCTAAAGGGGAGGGTTAGATAAGTTATTGGTAATAGTCGGTACTTTTCCAAACAATTTATATATATATATTTATATTTTTCCCAAGTTGGTATGGCTGTTGGGGTTAGGTAACGATAAGAACTGTATTTAGGGTTAGAAACAGAATGAAAGTAGCGATACTAGAAAAATAAATATTAGCTACATCCTATCGGTGTTTTTACAGTACCAAAATTCAACCCTGCCTACCATAAATTTAGATATTCACGTTTTTCTTAATCTATATGACAAACTATACAATTTAGACCCACAATCGGCCATTAAAGCAAACTATAAAATGTCAATATATTCCAATATTATTAGACAGTTTGGCAGTTAATAATACAATATTAGATAAGGACTAAGCCGAAACCTTTGTAGCCATTTAGTTTTTGGCATAAAAAAAGCTACGCTTACGCCTAGGTCGGGGGTACTATAAATAGTTTGATAGGCTTATAGATCTAGTCTATATTTAATTATTTTTTTCATTGGCTTTAGACAATACAGGAAGTGGGGTATCAGAGTGAGGTGACACAGCACAATCACAATAGAGGAAATGTAGTTCAGTCACGACACTGTAGCTTTCCCCTGACGTAAGGAAATTTTTTGTTTCAATCCAACCACTTGTCACCTCCCCTGAAAAAGGGAAATTATTTCAATCCACCACTTGTAGTTTCCCCTGATTTGACACGGTTCACACAATCGGCTGACCCGATTTCTCCAAATACGACAACGATTAAAGAGGTTTATGACTTTCATCCAGGTCCTTGCGATCATTGAAAACCATTCAACCGTTTCAGTTGAGACACACCCAAACAGGATTGTCCTTTTGACATGTATTAAACCTTTCGTCATTTTAAAAATCTGTCGTATCTTTAGTCAGTGTAAAGCATATTCTGAACAAGGTATATTTCTAGAAGTAAAATATAGGAAAATACAAACTAATCACTTGTTATATTAGTGGCGTTGCCCCTCACCCCTCCTTTTCAGTTAATTAAGTTACAGAACAGACGGCTTGTTTGGAATGGACAGTGCGTTGGTGTATGACAAGGGTGGTGGTTGGTGTATGGAATGGGCAGTGTTTAGAGTACGGCATTGGTGGTACGTTCTTGTATGGAATAGGCGGTGTTTGATGTAAGGAATGAGTGGTGTGTTGGTATAAGGTATGAGTGGTGTGTTGGTATAAGGAATGAGTGGTGTGTTGGTATAAGGAATGAGTGGTGTGTTGGTATAAGGTATGAGTGGTGTGTTGGTATAAGGAATGAGTGTTGTGTTGGTATAAGGTATGAGTAGTACGTTGGTGTATAAAATTGACGGAGCGTCGCTGGTGTGAAATGGGTGATAATGTTTCGTCAGGTTCCTTGCTTATAACTGGCCAAGTCACCATTCCCTTAAATAAGACGTTGTACCTACGATACACATATTTCTAAACACAAGTCCACTGTCAATTAAAACTAACCAATGCGATATAGTTGACTCCACCCCCACCCCCACATCCACTCCACCACCACCCCCCCCCCCCTCTCAAGCTTGACACTCATTACGAGACACGCTTCTCCAGACACTTCTCGTTGACTTGGTCGGGTATTGGATAAAAGCCTGTCAATAAATGCGTTTCATGCTTTAAAAGTACACGTCTTAGACTGTAAGGTACAGAAAGAGGATACCATTTACGACATACATGGGCGCTTCCAGAGGTCAAGATGTCACGTGATCTTTAACTAACTTGTTACAGGGAATAGAGCGAACGCCGCCCCCCCCCCCCCACCCCCCTACGAAAAAATGGCACACTCAAGTCACCCACCTTTGGGGTGATCGCAGGTTTCAACCCACACGAAGTGCATAGTGGGAGGACTTTTTAAAAATTGTAACTCGGGTCGTTATTGACTAAACTGTTATTTTCAGAATGCTGTATAGATTTGTTAGGCAGAGGTGTCTGGGTGATTTACCACGTGATGCTTGATTGCCTGTCTGCCTTTGATCAAACTATTACAGTGCCGGCATTTTGTGTTTTCAGGGTGAGCTGTTTTTGTATGTGTTGTACGCTTGATGTCATATAAACTGTAGAAGCAGTATCCGCAGTTGTTGTCTTTTCCAGGAGTTAAAGGCTTTTAGGCTTGGTGGTTCCTTGATGTTGCTGGGTTTGTTTAGTGTTTGGTGGAATTGTTGCCAATGTATCTAATGTTGTTTTGGCCGTGTATCTAATGTTGTTTTGGCCGATTTCGATTTTCTTTCTTGTAGTGTGGTTGGACTGTCTTTATTATTCCTTTTCGCTGGTGATTCTGTTTCCATAACAGTCTGTAGTTGTGTGTCATTGGGATTAGAGGTGTCTTGCTGTTGTGTGCTGGTGTTAGCTGTCGTTGATGTTCAGTTGCTAATTCTGAAGCTTGATGTGTCTAATTGTGGCGTACTTGCTTCCCTGTTGTTGCTTACGTTGTTAGTTGTGCTGTTGGGATTACATGCTGAGGTGGGTTGAGGTGAGGTTGGCGCCAATGGTTTGTCCAGTGTTTTGTAGATTAGCAGTGTTGGTAGGCTTGTCTGCTTGGTTTGGCTATTAGGATGTCTATAGTTTTGTGTTTGTAATTTAACTTAATATAGTGTGGAATGTCTGTTGTTTTTTCTGGGTAGGTTGTTGTTCTTGGGTTGTTTGTAAGATGGGTGGTTTGTATTTCTGTTTCCTTTTTAATGACCGTTCTAAGGGCCTTGATGAGAAACAGTGAGGGGGGCCATCGTAGGGTTCCGTCGTTTCGGGTCTGGGCGTACTTGGCAAAACTGAGAATGTATGGTTCGTAGGTCTTCTTCAAAAGCATCGGAGCATAAACCCAAGTGTCAGTTCTTCCCTAATTGAGTAGTAGAATTAGCTTTTTGCTAATCAGCTGCTAAATGACATGGCCCCTACGGTTAGATGGACCTCTGCTATTGATAGTGACTTAGATTGTGTTGTGGTAGTGAGGATCTGAACAGACTTTCTTAGGACTAGCTGTTATTCCTTATAAGTTTGCTGCTATAAGGGATTTTTAACATTTGTTTGTATGTTAGTGTTAGATGTACTCTTTTGGTCTATGTACGTGAGATGTTACCGATCCTTACATTTCATTTGTTACAGGGGATAGCGCGAACGCAGTCCCCCCTACGAAAAAATTACGCACCCGAGTCACCCACATTTGGGGTGATCGCAGGGGTCAACCCACACGAAGTGCAATGTGCAGGCCTCGCCCTGGAACAGGGGTCGGCAACCTGCGGCTCGCGAGCCGCATGCGGCTCTTTTGATATCAAGATGCGGCTCTCCAGCTCCTTGAACAAATACTAATAATCTTAATAAAAAACAAAATATTTGATATAAAAAATTTTTTAGTGGCTCTTTAAAACCAGGGAAATTTTGAAAATTGTAACTTTTGGCTCTTCCGCTTCAAAAGGTTGCCGACCCCTGCCCTGGAAGGACCTCCTTGCTGATCAAGGTGCCTTCTGTGCCAGGTAAGTATGCTTGAACAAGCGGCCGATTCACCACTTTCAGCGGCCATCGCAAGAATGCTATGGTGTTTAGTTTTCTGAATGGTTCCCTCTTTTATTGAATCAAATACACCGCTCTTAGTGATGGTATTTAATTTTTCTGCAATTATGTAATAAATAAATTGTGTAAATATTTAATAAATTCAAGTCCTTTTAAAAGAATTAATCCTGCGGCATACAGTTCAATTGGTTTAAAATAAATTAAATTGGCAACGGAGGTTGCTGCCCTTGGTTGATTGTTTACATTTTTCTAGCCTCCCTTTAAAACAAGCTGAACATTATGCGTCGTGACATTAAGAAAGGATTGCTGGTAAGGTAACGTGCACATAAGTAGTGTTACAGCTCCCAAAATATGTGTCAATGGTTACACATACAGTTCCTATACGTATTTGTGAAATGAAACACTACGCAGGAAACAAGCAGCGAAAATTATGCACAATTCGAAATAATGTTACACAACATGGTTCTTTGCCACTCGTCCCCTGTTTGTACTTCTTCAAGTTATATTTATTTAAAGGTTTCTTTTCTTAAGATCATACCGCTAAGGGGTCGGCCATAAATGACGTCACACTCGAAGAGGGGGTCCGTGATTTTGTGACGGTGTGTGATTAGGGGGGGGGGGGGTTCAGATGGTATGACGTCACACTTTTGCATTATAAAAAAGCAATGTTAGAAAACGAGTTTTAGCCGTTATTTCGCGTTTTAGAAAACATTGTAATAGGAATTGATCAAAATACTCTGTTTACAGAGTTCTGACACAATTTTGGAAAAAGATCGATGTTTTAAAAAAACTTCAACAGCAATTTTGAGGGGGGGGGGGGTTGTAGGCTGAGGTGTAACGTCATTTTAAGGGGGTCTAGCTTTTTGTGAGGGGAGGGGGGAGGTAAAAATCGTCAAAAAAAGCGGGACGTCATTTATGGATGACCCCCTAAGAGCGAGAGATGGATCTTTATGCATGACCAACACGTGATCTCTTCATCTGATGCTCTGGTAAACACCCTAAGCCCTAAGGATTTCACTGTACTGGGCGCATACAGTGTCTCCCGAAGCTAAAACCAGCCAAACATATCTAAAGTTTTACCGCATCTACCAGTGTACCTGATTACTAAGGAAGACTATAGTAAAACGAATATTTTATTATTTATTTTAAAACTGCCATAATATTAGTCATGGGAACAACTGAATTTTTTTTTTTTGCCATGTAAAATTTGCACATAAATGTGTTTGGTGACATAAGTGTATGTATACCCCAGTATTCAACAACATACACAAACAAGTATATCTTAATGTACACATGTGTATCCACTATATCAGACTATACAACAGTACATCCCAGTATACACATGTATATCCCAATATACACCTGTATACCCATTATATCTCACTGTACACCAGTACACACTAGTATACAGCAGATTATCCCAGTATAGGCAAGTATATCCTAGTATACACAATTATATCTCAGTATACACAAGTATATCCCAGTATACACAAGTATATCCCAGTATACACAAGTATATCCCAGTATACACAAGTATATCCCAGTATACACAAGTATATCCCAGTATACAAATACGCACCCCGTACGCACACACTGTACAACTGCACAGGTTATGCACAGGATAGATCTCAATGACAAGTTGGCCGGCCCTAGTATGCCCCCGACACCCCCCCCCCCCCCCCAACTTGTATGTGGCGGTTAATAAAGAAGAAGAAAATTTACATTGGCAGATGTTTAATCTTGTCTACTGGAAAATATGGATACGCTTGGGTGATATTCAAATATGTCTGAGATTTTTAAGGCTTGTAATTAGATATGTTGTTTCGTTTGGAATATTAAATAGACATGCAATGTGGGTTGGGGTTCAACGATCTGTCTGCCTGTTGTAGGATGGTTGCCGAGCTGAGAATTTGCTCAAATGTAAGTTTGATTGAAAATAAGATAAGAAAATTTGGAAGCAATTTTAGTTTAAAACTATCAAGTACAGTTAAGATCAGTTGCTAAACTGGGCATGTTTTAATTAAACTATTAAGCAAATTTGGAAGCACTTTCCCATAAAACCCACAAATAAAAGTTGCGCTACGTTTCCAAACAACGACTAAAGTTACGCTACCTTCCCAGACAACGACAAAAGTTACGCTACCTTCCCATACAACGACTAAAGTTACGCTACCTTCCCATACAACTACTAAAGTTACGCTACCTTCCCATACAACGATCACACTAAAGTTACGCTACCTTCCCATACAACGACTAAAGTTACGCTACCTTCCCATACAACGATCACACTAAAGTTACGCTACCTTCCCATACAACGATCACACTAAAGTTACGCTACCTTCCCATACAACGACTAAAGTTACGCTACCTTCCCATACAACGATCACACTAAAGTTACGCTACCTTCCCATACAACGATCACACTAAAGTTACGCTACCTTCCCATACAACGACTAAAGTTACGCTACCTTCCCATACAACTACTAAAGTTACGCTACCTTCCCATACAACGATCACACTAAAGTTACGCTACCTTCCCATACAACGACTAAAGTTACGCTACCTTCCCATACAACGATCACACTAAAGTTACGCTACCTTCCCATACAACGATCACACTAAAGTTACGCTACCTTCCCATACAACGACTAAAGTTACGCTACCTTCCCATACAACGACTTAAGTTACGCTACCTTCCCATACAACGATCACACTAAAGTTACGCTACCTTCCCATACAACGATCACACTAAAGTTACGCTACCTTCCCATACAACGACTAAAGTTACGCTACCTTCCCATACAACGATCACACTAAAGTTACGCTACCTTCCCATACAACGACTAAAGCTACGCTACCTTCCCATACAACGATCTCACTAAAGTTACGCTACCTGCCCATACAACAATCACACTAAAGTTATGCTACCTGCCCATACAACGACAAAAGTTACGCTACCTTCCCATACAACGACTAAAGTTACGCTACCTTCCCATACAACGATCACACTAAAGTTACGCTACCTTCCCATACAACGATCACACTAAAGTTACGCTACCTTCCCATACAACGACTAAAGTTACGCTACCTTCCCATACAACTACTAAAGTTACGCTACCTTCCCATACAACGATCACACTAAAGTTACGCTACCTTCCCATACAACGACTAAAGTTACGCTACCTTCCCATACAACGATCACACTAAAGTTACGCTACCTTCCCATACAACGATCACACTAAAGTTACGCTACCTTCCCATACAACGACTAAAGTTACGCTACCTTCCCATACAACGACTAAAGTTACGCTACCTTCCCATACAACGATCACACTAAAGTTACGCTACCTTCCCATACAACGATCACACTAAAGTTACGCTACCTTCCCATACAACGACTAAAGTTACGCTACCTTCCCATACAACGATCACACTAAAGTTACGCTACCTTCCCATACAACGACTAAAGCTACGCTACCTTCCCATACAACGATCTCACTAAAGTTACGCTACCTGCCCATACAACAATCACACTAAAGTTACGCTACCTTCCCATACAACGACAAAAGTTACGCTACCTGCCCATACAACGACAAAAGTTACGCTACCTTCCCATACAACGACAAAAGTTACGCTACCTGCCCATACAACGACAAAAGTTACGCTACCTTCCCATACAACGATGACACTAAAGTTACGCTACCTGCCCATACAACGACTAAAGTTACGCTACCTTCCCATACAACGATGACACTAAAGTTACACTACCTGCCCATCATCTCCAACGTTGCTTCCGTCAGGTCGTAGGTCGGCATGACAATGTCTCTGGAAGACTTGGAGCCACACCACGAGAAAATGGGCAGCGGAGACTCGTCCAGTCGTTTGGTTTCCAGCGGCCAGTCTCCCAGGTTCAGGAAAAACTCAATGTCAGGCAAAAACATCTGGGATCAGAAGAGGTTTGGTATACACAAGCTGGATATGAATATATGTATGCCAACATGCGTAATATATATATATATATATATATATATATATATATATATATATATATATATATATATATACCTATATATACCTATATATACCTACATATACCTATAAATACCTATATGTACCGAGGTCTAGCCAACACAAAGGTCCCGGTTAAGCCGCACCTGATGGAGGTTTCATTGTTCAGAAATAATCACAAACTTTTAACTATATTTATCTAGATACAACCATATTTTTATGTTAACCCGTTCAAGTCGGCGTTGTGTCACCACCACTTTTTGGTGCTGCAGTCATAGGTTCTACTGTCTAAGTGTCCGTATCGATCTAGGACTTGTAGGTGTAGAAAAATATATAGTGGACTAGAATAAAATAAGCGTTTTGTTTTGACTAGGAATTAAACATGAACATAGCCAAGGGAGACAATGCACAATGTAAAGTGGGGCATGAGTACGTCAAACAAATGGCTGTGATAGAATAACAAATGACAGGCAGTGAAAAGCCATGTGTGTAGCACAGGATGAGTGTGTAGCTACCAACTCAGCAGAGGACAAGTGTGTAGCCACAACCTGAGCACATGACGAGTGTGTAGCTACAACCTGAGCAGATGACAAGTGTGTAGCCACAACCTCAGCACAGATCGAGTGTGTAGCCACAACCTCAGCACAGGACGAGTGTGTAGCTACAACCTCAGCACATGACGAGTGTGTAGCCACAACCTGAGCACATGACGAGTGTGTAGCCACAACCTCAGCACAGGACGAGTGTGTAGCTACAACCTCAGCACATGACGAGTGTGTAGCTACAACCTCAGCACATGACGAGTGTGTAGCTACAACCTCAGCACATGACGAGTGTGTAGCTACAACCTCAGCACATGACGAGTGTGTAGCTACAACCTCAGCACATGACGAGTGTGTAGCCTTAACCTGAGCACATGACGAGTGTGTAGCCACAACCTCAGCACAGGACGAGTGTGTAGCTACAACCTCAGCACATGACGAGTGTGTAGCCACAACCTCAGCACATGACGAGTGTGTAGCCACAACCTGAGGACAAGACAATTGCGTAGCCACAACCTCAGCACATGACGAGTGTGTAGTCACAACCTCAGCACATGACGAGTGTGTTGCTACAACCTCAGCACATGACGAGTGTGTAGCTACAACCTCAGCACATGACGAGTGTGTAGCCTTAACCTGAGCACATGACGAGTGTGTAGCCACAACCTCAGCACAGGACGAGTGTGTAGCTACAACCTCAGCACATGACGAGTGTGTAGCCACAACCTCAGCACATGACGAGTGTGTAGCCACAACCTGAGGACAAGACAATTGCGTAGCCACAACCTCAGCACATGACGAGTGTGTAGCCACAACCTGAGCACATGACGAGTGTGTAGCTACAACCTCAGCACAGATCGAGTGTGTAGCTACATTCTCAGCACAGGACGAGTGTGTAGCTACAACCTCAGCACATGACGAGTGTGTAGCCACATCTCAACACAGGAAGTGCAGCTACAACCTCAGCACATGGCGATAATTCACTTAAATAATACATGAGTAGAAGACAAAAGGTAGGTCAGAGGTCACACGGTCCACGGCATATTTTCTAGGCTCTAGCTAGTTATTGGTTGTTTTGTTTTATTTTAAACATAGTTATTTTAGTGCGCTAATGTATATATTCTTCTATTTATTTAAATCTCCTGTAAACAGCATCCATGGACAAGTGTTAGTTTCAGGAAGGATTCGCCATTACATATGAATATGTATGTATGTGTATATATATATATATATATATATATATATATATATATATATATATATATATATATATATATATATATATATATATATATATATATATATATATGCCGTTATTAACCGACAGGTTTTCACACGTCGATAGACACTGAACATACATGTATTATACAATACAAATAATTAACAAACCTTTCTAGACAACGATAGTAGGATGGCGTCACCAAACATCTTAAACCCCACGTGTTCTCCGTAACATTTTCTGTAGACCTGTGGGGGTGGGGTGGAGGTGGGGGAGAGAAAAAAATAATAATTGTTCATATGTGCGTGTAAATTGTCATTCTTAACTAACTCAATCTATTATTTGAACTATAAAACATTTATTTATGTACCCAAACAAAACATCAGAGAGCCTCTCTCATCCGTAGGTGGTTCAGTAGCAGATCGTAAATAAATAACTCGTGTGAATGGAGAGTCAGTGATCGTTCAAGGGTAGGGGGACTAGTGCTGATGAAAAGATGCAGCGTTTTTGTACCGAGGGGGGGGGGGGGAGGGTGCTGAGTGGTACAAGTGGGTATATGAGTGCACGGAGGTATACAACCGTGTACATAAGTGCACAGAGGTATACACATGTACACAAGTATAAAGAGGCATACATACATGTATAAAAGTGTAAAAAGGTGTACAAATGTCTAGGCCTACATGAGTGTACAGGAGTTCACACATTTACATAAATGTACACAATGTAGGCCTACACACAAATGTACAGAATCGCTTAAAGTAAGTGTACAAAGATGTACAGAGATATACAAAGATATACAGATATACAAAGATGTACAGATATACAAAGATGTGCAGATATACAAAAATGTACAGATATACAAAGATGTGCAGATATACAAAGATGTGCAGATATACAAAGATGTACAGATATACAAAGATGTACAGAGATATACAAAGATGTACAGAAGTATACAAAGAAGTACAGAATATACAAAGATGTACAAAGCTAAATAAAGATGTACAAAGCTATATAAAGATGTACAGAGATATACCGAGATATACCAAGATGTACAGATGTGTACAGAGGACATTGGTTGTGGACGGATTAGTGAGGGTTAATTAAAACCAAACATAAAATTAATTGGAAGATTAGCACCAGATCAACATCCTGGTGAAAAGATAAAAGTTGTACTTCTGAAATACAGTATAGAGGGTTGTTATTTCGAATATCGTAATTAGGTTAATGATTAGGCTCGGGTCAGTGACATTGTTAAGACAGCGTGCGATGTAGACGAAACTATTTGGATTTAAAAGCAATTCCAGCCGGCACTGAAGTACCAAAAAATAATTAAAATTTTAGCTCATTAGTACTTCACCACAGCTATCGGGCTAGGTTTAGGGTTAGATACCATGCTTAGTTAGGAATGTGCTGACTAGCACATCACACCCCGGCTAGAAACAACAAAAAATCTAAGAGAATGAAACTCAAGACGTCGCGGTTATGTCCCTGCTGGTGTGAACTCGTACAGCCCTCGCTTCACTGTACCGAGTGTCTAAACATGTAGTTAGTTGTATTGTACCGGCTATTTACGCGTCTTTAGTTTTAGTTCAACGCCCTGTAACGGGGTTACGGAGTTCTATAATTAGCGTGCTGTATGGCTTCCACCGTCACCTCTGTTGCGATTTATAATAAGCTCTATGTACATAAATATATATACTATTATATATATATATATACATATATATAGGCCTACAGATATGCCTTCACACACATTATATATATATATATATATATATATATATATATATATATATATATGCATAGATGTACAGCTAATAGATTAGCGCTAGCACCTGGTGACGTGATCAGGATTAAGTCAGATTTCATACCGAATTCTTTCTTTTATACCAAGCCAACCCATTCCCAACCACTGAAACAATTTTGTGTCAAAAAGACCGCGATGTGCGTTGACAACAGGTGGTTTGATTATTGTGATAGACGGGTTTCAATGTGTTGCAGAACACATTTGTTTTATTGTGTTTGTTGTTCTCGCAGCGAGCCTTTAAAAAAATATATGAACAAAGGTTTAAGTTATGACGTTAATGTGACTCATTTGAGTGAACATGTTGTGGGCCCGTATGCGCATAGGTAACATATAGGACATGGAGACTGGCAATAGCCAATCAGGTGTAATGCATGAAAAAATGTGGGGTTGTGTGGGTCACTAAACTAATCTGGTCCCCATGGCCGAGTTTCTAACAGGTGCATTTGGGTTAAGCCAATGATAATCCAGAATTTCTTGGAGTCTCGTATTAAACAGTATCATTAAGAAACAAATTTGATAGGATAAGTCTCCTAATTAACATGTATATTTGCAACTGATTTGCCCGATTGTCTAGGAGAATCTCAATTAAACGGCTATGTATTTAGGCGATTGCTTTGCCAGATTTTCAAAAATAATATCATGTTAAACATTTGGGCGAATGATTTGCCAGGATGTCTAGTAGTCTAGAAGGATCTCTAACAAACAGCTGTAGATCTAATATTTAGGAGACTAAAATTTTGCAAGGGTTTGTCAGAATTTCTAGAAGAACCACTTATACGCGTCAACCAGAGTTTCTTCCAGGCATCTCTTCGGGGGGGGGGGGGGGGGGGGGGGCAGAGCCCACCCGAAAAAAAATTACCGACCCCCCCCCCACCCCGAACGAAATGAAATTTATATAGAAAATATATACTTTCAACAGTGTCCGCCCCCCCCCACCCCCCCCGAAAGAAAGTCTAACGCCCCCCCCCCCCCAAAATTTCAAGTGCCCCCTGGAGAAAAAAGTCTGGAAGAAACACTGGTGTCAACAACCCCAAACTACGTGAATGCCATCAAAAAAAAAATACCGAACCCCCCCCCCCCCCCCCCCACCCCGAACGAAATGAAATTTATATAGAAAATATATACTTTCAACAGTGTCCGCCCCTCCTAGACCCCTATTACATAACTATCCATCACAAGAACTCTTATCACCTGACCCCATCATGTGAACCCCACCATTATGACCCCATCACAAGACAAACCCACCCCCCCATATCACGTGACAGACGTTTACCTTGTTGCTGATGATCTTGTAGTGGCAGATGCTGTGTTGCCCAGCCTGGTTGAATCTCTCCACCGCCTCCTTCGCGACCTTGGTCATGTCGACGCTCTTGAACGGCTCAAGGTCGTTTTCGATCTGAGCGTAGGTCGCCGTGCAGCCGACCGCGGCCGCCCACTGCTCGGCCGTCTGGTGCGGGCAGTTGCACGTCTCATGGTAGATATCGCCTGCAACACCAATGACACGGTGTTCAAATTAATTATTATTTTTTGGATGATTTAATAGTTAACTTAGGCCAACAACACAATGACATATTCAAGTAAAATCATTTTTTGTTGATCGAATAACTAACTTAAGCCAGCTATACAATGAAACAGAATTCAAGTTAAATTACTTTTTTAAATTCATTTAATAACTGCCTTAGGCCATCATCAGCAATGACATATTCAAGTTAAATCACTTTTTTTAAAAATTCATCTAATAACATACTTAGGCCAACAACACAAGTATTCAAGTTAAATCTTTTTTTTTTAATTCATCTAATAACTAAATTAGGCCAACAACAGTAATGACAAGCTATTTAAGTTAAAACATGTTTTTAAACTGTTCTAATAAATAACTAAAGTTGATCTAGTAGCTAATTTAGATGGGGCTATCTACCAATTTGATTTAAACATGTTAATTAATCGAATGGCGTGGTCGGATGGTTGAGCTATACCGAAAGTCTCTAGTTCGGATCCCGGAGACAGCGCCCGCATGGCATTCCTGAGTCCACTTGTTTTCTTTTATAGAATGGCCAGTCCTTACCAACACCAGACACATTACGACATTACTAAGACATTACATTACTAAGAGAATTCCCGTCCCCTATAAATACTACAACAGACACTACGACATATCCTTTTTGATTCTAAGACAATCCCCGTTCCTTACAAGTACTACAACAGACACACTACAATATACCCTAGGAGAGTCCTTAATAATCCATGTCCCCAACAACAGACGTTACAGTAACCAGCCTCGAGTTCTAAATAAAACCACAAGGCAAGCGCTGGAATCCAAGGTGTAGGAGGTAGAAGGGAAGGGCTAGAATGTCAGTTGGAGGTTTCTCAGAGAAAGAAGGGACACGAGGGTTAAAATCGTCAAATCCAAAAAAAGTCGAATTTAAAATTTCTTTACTTTAACCTTCAATAAAATTTGTTGTCGTGGAAGTCTAATTCATGTTTTGAAATTACTATAATTTTTTAAAAACTGATTTTAACCCTCTTTCGCGACAATCCGAGAAAGGATTAAGTTCTCTTACACTCCTTTTTTTTTTTATATATAGAAACGGCGATAAAAGGGTTAACTCAAGTATGCGTTTGAACTAGATCTCTATTGGTCTGCAAGTGAAAACCTGCCATTAGCCTCCCCCCCCCCCTTCTCGCTGAGGGCTTATGCAATCACTGATGCAAGACCAGATAGCATAGACTCCTCAGGTGCAGATGTTATCAGATTTGTATAGACACGACAAACTGGATATAGAAAACACCCGAAAATCAATTATCCGTGGCATTTTCGTAAACGATAAATAACTCCCCGGGCCAGTGTTGAATTTTATAACATGAATGTAAACGACAGTAAAAGAAGTTTATGTGTAGGCTTTACACGTTCATCTATTGCAGGCATCTAGCGGGCGTATTGAAGAAAGACGTGTGATAAGTTATGCCCGACCTGAGACACATTATGCTGTCATTTTGATGAATGTATAATCTTAGACATTAAAAAAATTTAAGGTTAGGGCGTTGCCGATTAACGCGATTTAGGCGCCCTACTTGGGAGAAATGTTTTCAAACATTCTCTTTCCCCCCCCCCCCTCCCATTTCACTATTTTCTTCACTAGATTTCTTCAATAAGAAATAGAGGTGTTGGAATGCCTGCAGTTCCTCGATTGTTACTCGGCATTTCTATTCAAAGACATTTAGCATTGGGATACCGGTGGGTGGTGGGGGAGATGAATGGTATACAACACTGCATCTGTTTGTTTGTTTTTTTTTAAATTTTCTAATCGCTAAAATTCTTGCGCATTTTATTGGATGGGTGTGATCAGAGTTTCTTCCAGGCATTTCTGGGGGGGGGGGGGGCTATCCCGAACAAAATGGAAATTATATAGTAAATATATACATTTTACAGTGTCCGCCCCCCCCCCCCGAAGAAAATCTACCGCCCCCCCTCCCCCCCATCTTTGAAAATTTCAAGTGCCCCCCCCCCCCCCCCCCGGGAGAAAAAAGTCTGGAAGAAACACTGGGTGTGATAAGCTAAAAGCTAAGACCACTGGTTTAAAGATTTTTAATTTGAAACGGCTTTGAAATTATTTCTAAAGATGAAGTAGCAGTCAATGATATCTCAAGAGAATTCAGATTTATGGGTCACAATTAAAATATTGGAAACACTGAACATTTTTGAAGTACTGGTTCTCTCATGGTTGGGCGCAAAGGGCGTAGAAGGTGGAGGAGGTGTAAATGTTTTGTAAGAGATTGTGGTCTACCGAACTGTTATAAAGTTTCATATAGGTTAGGTTGTGGGGCAGGTGTGGCAAAATTTTGAGATATTAAATCACGTATCTATATGTCGTATCTCTGAGGTAAGGGGGGGATAAATGAAAAAACAAATACGATCAACTACAATATAGAAAACAATGCTTTTAAAAATTTTATTTCCCTAAATCCTTAAAAAAAATATAATACTTCTGCATCAGATTTTGTTGGATTTGAAAAAAATCATTAAAATAAAAAGAACGTTCCTCATACAATTATGCTTTAGACATTTTATTCATTTTCTATATACATTCAGGATTCTACTTTTGGTATTCTATAACAAGCATTATCGAAAGAACAAAAACAATTGTTTGATTTGTTACACGTATTTTATTGAAAAGTATTGAAAGGTTTATATAAATATATTATTATTACTGATTTAAATGTTTAAAACAATTGAATTAATAAAAAAAAAATTAAAAAAAAAATCTACCCCCCTCCTCTCTCCCCCTCTATCCACTTTACCCCCAGACATGATAACCCCACAATCCCTTTAACTGTTCCAACGACCCCACCACCCACCGCAACATCAATATCCAGAACTTATTTAAAGTTCTAAATCTTGTCTCTTTCCCCTCATCTTTCACACTACAACCTTTTGAAAACTCAATGCGACCACTACAACACCATTTCAACTAGTCAACTTAAGTTGTTTCCCTACATAGAAAATGCTTCACTGTCCCATTGACCCTCTCTGAAAAATTTCCTTTCCCCTCCCCACCCAGACTTCTGACACTTTCATTTGACCTTCACCCCTTTTACTGTCATCCTTTGCAATTTTTTTTTTTATAATCAAATACATGACATCATGTAAATATTCATTAAGTACATTTGCAAAACCTTTCGTTTTCATTTGGTGTTCAAAATTATGTTAAAAAATTTGATGTTGATGTACTTGTTTTAATTGCAAATAAAAGTATTTAAAAAAAAAAATAAAAAAATAAAAAAAAAAAAAATTGAAAGGTTTATAAATTGTAAAAAAAAAAAAAAAAAAAAAAAAAAAAAATGTGATTTGACGTCCACGGCGTCGATGGGTTTAGATAGGAGGAGGGGTCTAAAGAATTTTTTGTTGTCATTTTAGCGACACCGACAAGCATAAGAGGAATATAGACATTATTGTAGTACACCATACCAGTACTCGCCCAAAATGAAGCAATGGATTACCGTATTTGCTTCAATAAAACATCGCTAACACTTTGATTGATTTTTCGGTGTGAAAAGTTAGCTCATCACTTGTATGGTAAGACTTAAAAAGACTGTAAGCTACAGCCACAGGCATTGATTAAACATGTTATTTAGTGCCACATGATGGTGACATCCAGTGCCACACTACATGTTGGTGTCATCCAGTGCCACACTACATGATGGTATCATCCAGTGCCACACTACATGTTGGTGTCATCTGGTGTAACACTACATGTTGGTGTCATCCAGTGTCACACTACATGATGGTATCATCCAGTGTCACACTACATGTTGGTGTCATCTGGTGTCACACTACATGTTGGTGTCATCCAGTGCCATACTACATGTTGGTGTCATCCATTGCCACATGTTGGTGTCATCCAGTGCCACATTTTGGTGTCATCCAGTGCCACACTACATGTTGGTGTCATCCAGTGCCACACTACATGTTGGTGTCATCCAGTGTCACACTACATGTTGGTGTCATCTGGTGTCACACTACATGTTGGTGTCATCCAGTGCCATACTACATGTTGGTGTCATCCATTGCCACATGTTGGTGTCATCCAGTGCCACATTTTGGTGTCATCCAGTGCCACACTACATGTTGGTGTCATCCAGTGCCACACTACATGTTGGTGTCATCCATTGCCACATGATTGTGACATCCAGTGCCACACTACATGTTGGTGTCATCCAGTGCCACACTACATGTTGGTGTCATCCAGTGCCACACTACATGTTGGTGTCATCCAGTGCCACACTACATGTTGGTGTCATCCAGTGCCACATGATGGTGACATCCAGTGCCACACTACATGTTGGTGTCATCCATTGCCACATGATGGTGACATCCAGTGCCACACTACATGTTGGTGTCATCCAGTGCCACACTACATGTTGGTGTCATCCATTGCCACATGATGGTGACATCCAGTGCCACACTACATGTTGGTGTCATCCAGTGTCCACATGTTGGTGTCATCCAGTGCCACACTACATGTTGGTGTCATCCATTGCCACATGATGGTGACATCCAGTGCCACACTACATGTTGGTGTCATCCAGTGTCCACATGTTGGTGTCATCCAGTGCCACACTACATGTTGGTGTCATCCAGTGTCCACATGTTGGTGTCATCCAGTGCCACACTACATGTTGGTGTCATCCAGTGTCCACATGTTGGTGTCATCCAGTGCCACACTACATGTTGGTGTCATCCAGTGTCCACATGTTGGTGTCATCCAGTGCCACACTACATCATGGTGTAATCCAGTGCCACATTACATCATGATGTCATCCAGTGTCACACTACATCATGATGTCATCCAGTGCCACACTACATGTTGGTGTCATCCAGTGTCACACTACATGATGGTGTCGCCCAGTGTCACACTACATGTTGGTGTCAGCACTACATTCTGGTGTCGCCCAGTGCTACAATGTTATCAAGTACCATATCAAATGCTCATCCAATGTCATACAGCATGATAGTATTATCCTTAGTCATATTTCATGTGTTGTCAATCTCGACATACATTTTCTTTAATTAAGCTTTTCGAAAGTCTGGCCCCATACACATCAGCCCCCCCCCCTACCCCCCAATAAGGAAAGGTCGTGAGCGCTTTTTACCAGTCACTATCCCTTAATGGTTTTTATGTTGGTGTTACAACTGATGTTGAAAACAGTTAAATGAGCCTGTAAAGCCAAGTGACTATCTATTTTCAAAACTTCCATTGTGTACAATTTAGTTATGCAGTTCAAATGTTTTTTTTTTTTTATTTCTACTCCCTTCCGTGCCCTCCTAAGGTCGGCACCCGGGGCGGCCGTCCCTTCGCCCTCCCCTAGCTACGCCTCTGGGTACAGTCCTTCAAAAAACTTGGTGCCATCGTTGATCAACAGGGTAACTCAAATGCTTAAGTCTATGCCAGAGATGAGAAAGCAAGTCACTTATACACCTCTAGACCTAGAACATAAATGAGTCTAGAGTCTACATATCTTCGAATCTTTATTAAACAGAGTTTCTTCCAGGCATCTCTTCTTCCCCCCCCCCCCCCCGAAAGAAATGAAATGTATATAGAAAACATACTTTTACCAATGCCCCCCCCCCCCCAGAAAAATGTAGTCCCGTCGCCCCCCCCCCCCCTAGAAAATATCAAGTACCAGCCCCCCCCCCCCCCCCCCCCCGGGAGAAAAAGTCTGGAAGAGACACTGTTATTAAACACCAACTCCGGAGAGCTGTAGTTGGCGACCCATTCTCCAACAGCTTTGGTTTTCTTTATTCCTTATTTCTCGCTGAAAATTCTACTGGTTTAGAACTTAGATAACCTTAGGTGACACAATTAAAATTTAAATGATGAGGTCAGATGTCATGGAATATAAGAGGATAAATAACGTTAGAACCGCTGTCCAAGCAGATCAAGTCACGTTTGAAGTGTTTGAATAACGACGTGTATAAACAGGGTGTGGTCAGGATTGGGCTTTCTTCTGTTTGACAGCGGCAGATAAAAAAAAGATTCAGTGCCTTGTAATGGGACCTCTCCTTGTAGTTGAATTGTAAGTTCAAGGTCGACGAGGGATCGTATAATGAACCCGATAGTTTAAGAAGCTGCACTAAGAAATAGACGCATTGGCCGTAACGGGTATAGCTGTACTAAAACATGGAAGTTGGGGTTGTAGTGGTAATGTTTTTTGTTTAAGAGGGGTGGTTTAATAGTTTTAAAGTTGTACTAAAGTCAGGGTAATGGTGCCGTACTTGTATACTAAAGAAGGGGTAATACAGCTGTATTGTAATGGTGTTGTGCTGTGATGGTGCTTTATGTAATGGGACTTTACTGTAATGGTGATGTATGTGAAATGATGCTTTACTGTAATGGTGCTGTACTGTAATTGTGCTTTATGTAATGGGGCTGTTATGTAATCGGGCTGTACTTGTAATGGTGTTTTACTGTTATGATGCTGTACTGTAATGATGCTGTGTGCAATGATGTTGTACTATGATGGTGCTATACTGTTATGGTACTGTACTGTAATGGTGTTGTGTGCAATGATGCTGAACTATGATGGTGTTGTACTGTAATGGTGCTTTAAGTAATGGTGCTGTACTGAAATAGTGCTGTACTGTGCCTAAAATAGATAAATGATTCACCAACAGGAAGCGTTATCCGACGACTGAATAACGTCAACGTCCCACAATATCTCACCTCATTAAACTGACGTCAAGAGCTCTCACTCTATCACAACCAAAAACACAACAACAAAAATTATCTTTTCAATAACTGATTATTTAAATGTTACTAAAAATAAACCAATTGATCGTAAAGGTAGAGGACTAATGTTTACATCCAGCAAGTCCATAGCTCGACAACACTTGAACACAGGTAGACGCATGAGTAGACACATTTTTAATTAGTCGTGGCCGGGTGTGGAGACCAACGACACATTAAAATTTTAGAGTTGTTTTAGTAATCTTGTTAACAGTTTGTAGACGCTAGTCTCCCTTGTTTTAAAATATTTAGAACATGATGACTTCCTCACACACATAAACAACAGTAGTTGAGATTTCATTGCGTTTGTATGTTTGTGTCAGTAGGTTACATAGTCTTCTGTGTTTCCGATCTAGTCCTTTTCATAAAATTGTCAAATGAAAATAAACCACTCCCCTATGCAACTTCCTTGTTTTTATTAGCAGTGGAAGTATGATTTAAAAATACAAACCGAATACCGTATTGATCCGCTAGTATAATGCAACACTGCACAAAGCAGTAGCCAAATATAAGGAGCTAGCCGAAGATATTCGATCAAGCAATTAAATCAGATTAAGCCAACAATAACCGTTGCATTCAGAAAGCGACATACATTTCTCATGTCTCCATTAAGCTGTCAACACAGTCGTGTATGTTTGATCTTGGGCCACCGTCAACACAGTCGTGTAGCTTTGATCTTTGGCCACCGTCAACACAGTCGTGTAGCTTTGATCTTTGGCCACCGTCAACACAGTCGAGTATGTTTGATCTTGGGCCACCCGTCAATAGCCGTGTAGCTTTGATTTTTGGCCACTGTCAACGGAGTCTTTTAAGTTTAATCTTTGGCCACTTGTAATGCAGTCGTGTAAGATTGAATTTTGGCCACCTTCAACACAGTCATTTACGTTTGATCTTTGGCCACCGTCAACACAGTCGTGTAAGATTCATCTTTGGCCACCGTCAACATAGTCGTGTAAGATTGATTATCCGAACATGTTGGGTTTTTGTAAACTGCAGCAGGGGTTTTGTTCACTGGGCGTATATCAGTTACATACATTCAAGGAAATCCGCAAAGGTGATTTCAGAATGGGATGGGTTCAAGGGGGGGAGTGGGTGAATGTTTTTCTCTTTATATATATATATATATATATATATATATATATATATATATATATATATATATATATATATATATATAATCGGGTTGAAGAAAACCAAGACACTGAAGTGTGTTGCTCGACTGTTGGGCGTCTAACACTATATTGTAATATTGGAGGAGAATTTACTCCAAAATAAACATTACATGTCCCAATGTTTGCGCGATATGGCCCATCAACTTCATGTTGTTTTTCTTTCTCGTTAAGTTTTCATTGCCTTTATCCATCTGAACTGGGGACTTCTGAATTAGCACTCGTGCGTCCGCCTATGACTAAAATAAGGCTTTTCTCAAACAATTTTTTCTCTGGGGAGAGGGGTCATTTGAAATTTCGGGGGGGGGGGGGGGGGGGTGGGAATCAATACCTACAATGGTTAACTTATATATTTTCAGTATAGATTTCAATATTTTTTTACTGTTACGTCCGGGGGTTAGCCCCCTACCTTCCCCTGCTAGATGCCTGAAACACTAAGATGATTCTAAAAGAGCTTCTGATTATATATGTAGGATAGTTTACTTATACAATAAAAGAGAGCTGGAGAATTAGGTAAATTTGGACTGTTATTACACCTCGAACCCCAACCAGTTCACACAGCTAAAAACTAGTTTCTAAAATAAACATCTGATAACAATATGAAAACTATTTTAAAAAAACAAATCATTACCTTTTAGTATGTACGGTGAATCCGCAATATGTCGGCCATTGTAAAGTACGTGGATGCTCAAATCTGAGGACGTGGAGAAGGGACGGTACCGGACAATGTAGGAGCCGTCGTGACGGTCAAGGACCTGCGTCCATATCCTGGCCCTGTCAGACCCGGGGACAATATTGACAGTGATGGCCTTCTCCCCCACGGACTCTGTAAGGCTGTAAATGTAAAGCAACTCTTCAAGACATGGTCATGGCATCTTGACCAGAACACACAACTTCCGTAGTAGGCTTATATATATATATATATATATATATATATATATATATATATATATATATATATATATATATATATATATATATATATATATATATATATATATATATATATATAATATATATATATTCAGATACCGTGCATAAAAGATTATTTTTAGGCGATGTATTTTCAAATGAACGAGCATATAATATCAACCATGCATACATTATCCTATCTGTAAATAATACATGTAGATCTGTGACACGAACTAGCCACGCCCTATTCAAAACACAGGTGACGATAACAATACCTGTAATTGTACACTAAGCTGGGGTTTAGAGATCTTAGTTTGATTCACGTGTGTTGTATTTTTCTCTCATTCTATCTAAATCATGGTTGATTACCTATTCTAAGCATATATGCTCTGAGAGAAGCAAAAAAAAGCGCTAGATTTTATTCTTATTTTTTAAACGTTTTGTTAAAGCAGAGTCAATTGAGATTTGCATATACGTTATAAAATATAATATATGGAATATAGAATTACGTAACAGATAAATGCGATTCACGCTTGATAAAACATGAAAATGGCCACGTCAGTGATATATGGGGCTGTTCACACCACGCTGGCTGGGCTGGCAGTGAAATGCAGAGTTTCTTCCAGGCATCGGATTCCCCCCCCCCCCCCCCCCCCCCCCCCGAAGAAAGTCTACCCCTCCACCGAAAGAAATGGAATTTATATAGAAAATATTTACTTTACATGTGTCCGCTCCGCCGCCACCCGCCCCCTCCCCGGGAGAAAGAAGTGGAAAAAAACACTGAATGTAAATCAAGGATGGGAATTGTCATTTTATTATTTTAAAGGGGGTAGGGGAGGAGATAAAATAATAAATATATAAAGGAGGCATAGTAGCAAAGCAATAGCAAGATGAGTGGATGGATTTAATAATGTACACATATACAAAATAAGCATACACATTATATATATGTGTGTGTGTGTGTGTTCCCTAGAACCAGACTGTTCAAGCTCCATTTTAATGGGTTTTTTTTAAACACGTTTTTCTTAACTCAGCTTCGCGTTTATTTGTTTGGTTGTTTGGATGTTTGTTGTTAAAATTGACATCGAAAATTAGCCCACTTCTGATTGCTCTAGAGTTCTGAAATTTGGCAGGCAGGCTACTTTCGCCTAACAATTTCAGATGCAATCATAAAAACTAGCAATTAGAGACCGTAATTAGCTTAATTTAATTACGCCCCAAGGACCATAAAATTGAGGACATGATTTCTAAAGATACCGACAAGACTGGAGGCCTATTGACACAGTTACTTCGGCCCCAATCGATGTGAGCGCGCTGGCCGTGATCGTATAGTGGGTAGTACTTCGCGTTGTGGCCGCGACAACCCAGGTTCGAATCCTGGTCGCTCAAGATTTTTAGTCCGTGTATTTATAAACACTTAGTCAAGTCATACTTAATCAAGTCATTAGATAAAGTAGAAAATAAACTATATAACATTAGATAAAGTAGAAAATAAACTATATAAAAAACTTTTTTAAAAACCACGTTTTTCATGTGTAGCAACGGACTAAAAAGGAGAAAATAAAATACTTAAAAAAAACTTTTAAAAAAAAACACGTTTTTCTTGTGGACTAAAAAGTAGAAAATAATTTTTTCTTTTGTGCTTCCTCGAGCTATGCAGGTTCTTGTGATGACTGACAAAAAACGTGGGTCGGGCAGATGGGTCGGGAAATTTGATGGTGAACGTACCCACATTTTTTGTCAGTCATCACAAGAACCTGCATAGCTCGAGGAAGCACAAAAGAAAAATTTATTTTCTACTTTTTAGTCCACAAGAAAAACGTGGTTTTTTAAAAAGTTTTTTTAAGTATTTTATTTTTGTATTGGGTTCTAAATCCACCAAGGCATTGTGGCAAAACCATTCGTGGTCATAAATCTCACCATTATTACACAACAATTTAATTTTTACCAAGTACTTAATATAGAAACCTTGACATTTTCAAAAAGTGGAGTTTGAACAGTCTAGTTCAAAGGCACGATATATATAAACAATATATATATATATATATATATATATATATATATATATATATATATATATATATATATATATATATATATATATATATATATATATATATATATATATATATATATCTATAATAATAGTTTCGCTGTCTGTCTATCTATCTATCTATCTATCTGTCTGACAAGAACGCTCTAGAGAAAAGACAAGCAATTTAAAAACATGCACAGTAATTCGAAAAAAAATTCATAAAAAACGTTTTAATAACAAGCTTTTATGTAATGATGCACTAAAAAGTAGAAAATAAATTATAGACTACTATTTAAATAACTATAAAGAAAAGCGTGGGTCACTTTAGTATCTATTGGATACCTTTACTAATGTTAAGGAAGACACCCACGCTTTTCTTTATAGTTATTTAAATAGTAGTCTATAATTTATTTTCTACTTTTTAGTGCATCATTACATAAAAGCTTGTTATTAAAACGTTTTTTATGAATTTTTTTTTCAGTACTTTACATGTTTTATTTACAATAGAGTTACATGACTAAAAACCATTGCGCGCCTACTGAATATCACGTTCAGTAGGCGCGCAATGGTTTTTGAACGCAGCCATTACGTGGTCGTGATGGCGCAGCTATTGATGACGCGTGTGGTGTGGTTGGCTAGACATGCCTACTAATTCGGTCCAAATTTTAATTAATTCATAAAAAATCAATTAGGCATCCAATTAAGTCAAATTTAGTTTCAGATTGCATTGTCTTCATGTCTTGACCCACGTGCCAACTGTGAATCGTGTCGGTCAAGTAGAAGTTTCCGAATTTTCACTCCTGCGTTTCCGTCAAGACTGACGACAGAGGAAGTGAGTTAAATAAAAGCTTGTAAAAACGAAGTATGACGTCGACACATTTAGCACAGAGTAGAAAATAATCTCAAACCCAGAGAGTGCTCACAGTTATATGACGTCATTGATTTTCGCGTTAACATTGAATAAAAAGGAAATGTTGTCTAATCTTAATGGTTTGCGTGAAGAGTTTCTTGCATACAATTCTTCGGGTAGGGGCAAAGCCCCACCCCCCGCGTAAGAACGTCTGAGCCCCCCCCCCCCTCCCCAACTCAAAAGAAATTTCTTCATCGATACTCTATAATAAAATTACCGCCTAATTAATGTGTCTAATCTAAAAAGTGGTTTTCTTGCAATTTCTTTAATGCAATTCTTCGGGTAGTGGCTAAGCGCGACACCAGTGTTTCTTTCAGACTTTTTCCTCCCCGGAGAGGGGTGGGGGTAATTGAAATTTTCGAGGGCGGGGTTAGAATTTTCGGGGAGGGGGGGGGGGGGCGGACACTGGAAAAAGTATATAATTATATTTCGTTGAATGGGACGGTAGACATGTTTTTTTTGGGAGTGGGGGGGGGGGGGAGGTGTGAGTGGGGGGGTGGGTGGGGCGGTGGTTTCCTCATCGATACTCTATAATAAAATTACGGCCTAATTAATGTGTCTAATCTAAAAAGTGGTTTTCTCGCAATTTCTTTAATGCAATTCTTCGCGTAGTGGCTAAGCGCGACACCAGTGTTTCTTTCAGACTTT